CCGCGGTCAACCTAAAGATACGTTTTTTTCAGGGGGGGCCTTGATAGCCTCTACTCAGCGTAGACGCATGCAGCATTCCACGGCTTCCAAGGTGGGGCTGCATACGACGGAATTTGGTGGGAATAAATCGACAGGTACTAAATTGGACATGAAATGAATCTTTGAGGAGGCAACCTCAGAAAATATTTGTGGTTTTTTCTATCAATTTTCGCAAAATTTTCACGATATTACAGATTTTCTTTGTGATGTTTTTACGGGCCTTTTTTCCGGAAAAAAATTGCGGTAATTTATTCTCCCTAGAAGAGCGTTCTGGCTTCCTCTTGATATTTATTGAAAAGAATTGAAGGTGGTAGAGTTGCATAAAAATTTACGATTATTTCCACGTTAAAAAACGAGTTATTCTATAATTTTTCCACTTCATTTTCAAGGAAAATTTAAATATTTTCGAGTATTTTTTTGTGAATTGATTCCCTATCGGAGGCGATCAATTTGAGCCTTTTTTGGACCTCATTTGAATCTTTTATTGTGGAACCTAAGATACGCTTTCCTTTTCAGCTATGGAAGGCTCCGTTTTGGAACGTAACGATTTGGAGGAATTTATGAAGTTAGCAGAAGAATCTCATCGCGAGTAAGACGGAGCGAAGTTTTTCTGATCAATTTTGGAGGAGGAATATATGTTTACTTTTTCCACCTCAGTTTAGGAATTTGGGTAGAAGTGTACAGAAAATTTTCGACATTTTGTGAAATATTTATATATGTTTGCTTTCCTCAGCTGAGCTCAGAGGAGTTTATATACAAATTATAGGGTAGAAGTGTACAGAAACCAACAATAATTTCCTCGGAAATTTTCCGAAATGTAGTTGACCATGTGCATATTTTTCCACGCTTTCGATGAAGACTATGTTCTCTTTTATTTTACACGGAAGTGAAATTTTCGTTGGAAAAGTTTCAAGTGAATATTTGGGGATTTTTTTCGACAGTGACGGTATTTAATAAGAGTTTGGTGTTTTTTCCAAATTTTTTTTGTGATTTTTCGGGGGAAAATTCGTTATTAATTTTTTTTTTCAGATTCGAAACTCAGAGGTATGCCCAGTTAGTTGACGTTGACAGCCACGTGTTGGTTCGGGAGAAAGCCGCTGAGCATGAGAAGCCGCAGATTGATATTGATGTAGTGGTAGAGCGGTTGACTGGGAGGGGGTAATCGAATGGTCGTAGGTTCGAATCCCAAGACGTCCATTTTGGATCCCGGGAATTTCAGCGGAGAAATTAGCTGATATGGAAATGGACAATTTCTTGTCGTGGAGAAAAGTAGGGAGAAATCGATCACGTGATCGATTTGGAGTGTGGGAAAATATACACTATGTTGAACTCTGGATTCCTCTTTAATTGCAAAATTTATGTTGTTTCAAACAATTAAATTTTGTCGGTCAAAAGTGAACAAATTTTGAATTTGAAGAATATTTTTTACGGGAAAAAATTTGCAAATTCAACGTTTTTTCCGCTGCTCGTATTTTGTTTTGAAAATTTATTATTTTTTTTCTTCACAGACACTTGCAGACTATGAAGAAGAGCAAGGATATATTCTCACTCCTTTCGAGAAAAATTTGGATTTCTGGAAACAACTATGGAGAACAGTTGAGCGGAGCGATGTTATTTTCCAAATTTTGGATGCCCGAGATCCTCTGTTCTACTATTGTGAAGACCTTACGAAGTAAGTTTGAAATCGATCAATCGGGCGCGCGCTTTTTACATATGCAGGTATGTTGAGGAAGTTGCGAAGGCTCAGGGGAGGAAAAAGTCTTCGGTTGTGTTGATGAATAAAAGTGATTTTGTGCCAAAGGAAATTCGAGATGGGTGGAAAAAGTAGTGGTCACTAATTGGGCCTAATCTGAATCTTACGATGGGGAACCTTAGATATTTCGAGGAGGAGCACGCCGGAGTCCGACTTGAATTCTTCTCGGCACTTCAGGAGTTATCAAAAGTCGTGAAAGTTGTTGAAGAGGTATCTTAGGCTCAGCGGTGTTAGATACGGATTAGGTCCAATTCATGGCAGATAATTTTGTGGCGCGCGAAAAAAATTTAATAGACTATTACTGGCTGAAATTATTGAATATTATGAAAAATGAGGAAATGAAGTTGACAATATTTTGCATGGATGAAATCTGATTGAAAAATCAAAAAAAATATTTCCCGAAAATTCCCCGAGTTCCTTTAGGTGGAATTTTCCGTAAAAAATGTTAAAAATAGAAAAATTTGTGAAATTTTTTTATCATTTAGGATAGTACGGAAGAACTTGTTTCGGCTGATAGCAAAGCGGCTCTCGGGAAAGGAATTAATGACGATGATAGTGATGTAATAAAATGGGTAAATTTTTCCGAGTTGGGGAATAATTTTACAACAGTGTTGGAGGAAGAATATATGTTCGCTCTCCTCAGCTGAGCTCAGAAGAGTTTATATACGAAAAAAAATGCAGAAAACTTTCTCGAAATTTTCAACACCTGTAAATGACCATTTGCATATTCTCTGAACGCATATAGAAATCGATTTTGGGAATTTTATTTTTTCTCCTCCTCTTTAGTTTGAAGTGAGTGTAATCGTCCGTATTTGGAAACGGTGCGTTATTATTGGAGTTTCACCACCCTAGTGATATGAAAAATATATTTTACGGCTACTGCATATCACCGCGAATATCGCGTTCTTTATTGCAAAAAAACGCGAAAAACATGTGATTTTTCGGAAATGTAATTTGACAAGTATTTTCAATTCACTTTATATCGCGTTTTTTTTCACATGGAGAAATTCACTTTACGGGTGAAACTCTTTTGAGGAGGAGAATTATTTTTCACTGGGGTTTGATTGGTTTTACGTGAAGTGGCGTAATGCTCTATGTGAAAAACGCGATATGCAGCGTACGAATTGAAATTTATTTTTCACTAGTGTTTTTTTTTCGTATCACTAGGGTGAAACTCCAATAAAATTTGATCATTGGAAATTATTTTTTATTATATCAATTTTCATTCGATTTGACGTAAAAGAATTTTTTCTTTTTTGAAGGTACTTACTGTAGAAGGCCTGATGGAATTGCTGAAAAAATACGCGGCTGAATATGATGATAAAGTTACCATCGGCATGGTCGGATTCCCGAATGTTGGGAAAAGTAATAATAATATTATCGAAGTTTCACGCCGCGTTTTACGTGAAGTGGTGCAAATAGTATTCATAGTAATCTCATAATTTATTCCATGTGAATTTTTTGCGACTGAAAACGCAATTGTTTTTTACGAAGTGAATTATGATTTTTTTTTCATATCCCCGGTGAAACTCCAATAATAAAATTCTACGCGAAGTGGCGTCAGGGAGGAACTTGAAATGATTTCGGAGGAAACGAAATTTGGACTTTCAAAATATTTTCCGCCAATTTTCGAGATTTTCCCCTCATTATAATCGCTCATTCGGAACATTTTCCCCATTATAATCGCTCATTCGGAACATTTTCCCCATTATAATCGCTCATTCTAGTCTCGAGGCGATCTTAGGAACGTTATTTCTGAGAGTTGGATGACTCCCTCAGTGCCGTAATATTTGGTATGAAATACTTGGCGATTTGTTTAACGTAAAAACCACATTATGTGTTTCACACGAAGTGAATTGTGTGAAATATTTTTTTTCATATTCCCGGGTGAAACTCCAATAATGAAGAATTAATATTTTTCGACAGCTTTCAGTGATTGATCTATGAATAAAGCGTATCTTAGGTTCCCGCGCGTAAGATTCAAATCATGCCCAATTAGGTACTGTTATTAATGCTCTCTGGGGAGCTAAAAAAGTGTCAATGTCGCGACAACCTGGGAAAACTAAACATTTGCAAACTCTGGAGTTGGTAATATAAATCGATCACCCGGGCGCGCGCTTTTTACAACATGGTGTTGTAGGTGACAGAAGATAAATGTGGTGGAAATAAAATACAATTATGCGATTGTCCAGGGCTGGTATTTCCAACGGCGGTGAGGAGTAAAGCAGATCTTGTTATAAGTGGTAATATGCGGAATAGGTTCAATTTGGGGAGTTGTTATTTTATTATGAATTTTATAAATTTCAGTAATTTATTTTTTAATTTTTTTACTTGATTTTTATTCAATTCATTTGAATTCATGATTCCTTACAGTGTGGTTGTTATTGTTGTTGTTGTTATTGTTATTGTTATTGTTATTGTTATTGTTATTGTTATTGTTATTGTTATTGTTATTGTCATTGTTGTTGTTAAAATTTTTATCATTTAATATGGAAATTCTGAGAGGAAATTATTGTTGGTTTTTTCTGTACACTTCTACCCTATAATTTGTATATAAACTCCTCTGAGCTCAGCTGAGGAAAGCAAACATATATATATATATTTTTCCAACACCGGAGTTTTAAACTTCATGTGAAAACTCGCGACACGAAGTGAAGTGAAAACAAGTCCGCACATTCCACATGTTTTACGCGAAGTGAAATATGAATGTGTATTTTTTTTCATACCAACCGAGGTGAAACTCCATCGTTGAAAATCAGGTACAGTCCCAATCGATTACCTGCGAGACTATAGACCTTCTATAGATCTGATTGTTGAGAAAGTTGGACTGGACGAGTAGCGCGCGCCCAGTTGATCGATTTGAAAATAAGGGTTGTTTTTGCCAGGTTGTTGAAGCAATATAAATGTGCTGAGTATTGCACGGTGAATTATAGGAAATTGGGAAGAGCTCGAGCGCTGCTGTCGGCGTATGCATTGCGATATAAGAAATTCTTAAAATTAGGGTATGGGGATTTTGGAGGAATTTTCACT